CATAATATTATATAATATAATATTATAATTTATAATATTATATTCTATTATATATTTATATTTATTTTATTAATATAATTTATATTATAAGTATATATTAATTATATATTATATTCAATATATAATATTACTATATATTATATTATATATAATACAAATATAAATTAAAAAAATATATTATATTATGTTATATATTTATATTTATATAGGTAATATGCATATGTTATCAAACACAACACAATACCCATAACTTATTTAAATTTCCTGAACAAATCATTAAACTTTTCAAAAGATATATTTCAGAAAAACAATTGACCAAATATTTTGCTAAAATCTAAATTTTGAAAGGGATTCAAACAACGCCAATTCCAGGCAGACTCGGCCATTTTAAAAACGTTCCAGTCCAAAACTTTTTTATATCAACGTTGAATGGTCCACTAGTATACAATCCCAATGGATAAAGAAGACATTGAGGGATAATTCCCCTGGAAAAAGTTTTTATGGTACATTCTTCCTCATTTCCAGTGGATTTAATTTAAAATAAGTATGATTTCACTTTGGGGAATAGTGGTGAAATGAAACTGTCAACAAAGTGGTTCAATTTAATATAAATATCATTTAAGTACCCCGTCAACATTGAATTCAAATCATGAATAAACAAAGTTATTTTGGTAAGGGTGCGGTTTGTATAAAGTAAAGTGCACCATAAAATCGTGTGGAGAACGGTAGTTTCAACACTGAAAATCTTTGTGATAGTCTTAAATTTTATTTTCATTTCTATTTATGAAAATTTAAAGCTTTAAAAATAATATAGATTAACCAAATCTATAAAAACTTGAAAATTTAAAAAATTGACAATCAAAAAATACATTTCAAGATGCACTATTTCCAAAACTTGAGCTTCATTTTTTCTCTTGTCCATACATCTTGAGGTTTTGATGATCAATTTAAAGGTTTTTTAGCATCAAAACAACCTTTTATAATGAAATTTTTGATGTGCACCTTAATTTGATTGTTTAAAACCTCGCACTTATATAAACTTTTTCTTTTTGGTAATTTATCAATGGCTTAAACCAAATACCAAATGACATAAATATCCCTACTTATTCCAATTTCCAAACCTTTTATTGAGAATTCATCCTTTAGGTTTCTACCAAGCTGCCATTGTTCGAATCGACTTGAGTGATCCTAGTTAGTAATCCTAGTCAAATGATAAACCTACCCCTACTAAGTCGTGGGAGGCAAGGCACACAGGGG